TCAGGGCCTCCAGTGTAGGTTTTGAATTATCCTGAAAGACTAAAGAGGGCTTAACTGGGACAGAAAGAGTTGAAATGTTACAGGCAGGCATAAAGTTGGAAACCAGACTTGTCTTGGTTGCTTAGCAAGATGGAGGATGTAGCCAAAGTAGGAGTTGGAGGTTGGGGAATATCTGAGCCAAGAATGATCTTTAAGTTTCCATCTTGAAGAAGGAAATTGATGTTCCTGGGGCCAGGTTCACAGGGAGATATTGGCAGGCAGGACTTTAGTTTTCTCCTAGAACAGTACAGGAAAGGTGTACCTAGGAAGAGTGCAGGGTGAGAACTGGATACCAGGGCAGCCTTCAGTGCTTTGCTGGGGTGGTCACTTCAGGACTTGTTTTCTCAAACTGGTATGAGTCATTTACTTGGTTTACCCACAGAAAGGGTGACCTTCATTCTTTCCTTTCCCCACCCAGTGCATTGTGAGTGTGGCTGGTGGGGCCACTCGAGCTGCACTGACTGTGCACCAGGCTCGGAGAAACAACATGGCCGATGTATCAGCCAAGGATAGCAGCCAGGTAAGCAACCAGGATTGGAGGGCCTGGGGAGGGCAGGGGAGAAGTCAGACCAGAACACAAGTTGGGAGTATGGAGAGAAGTACCTGAGTGCCCCTGGGAAAGGAACAGATGGAAGACACCAAGGAAGTGTTGCCTACTGTGACTGTCAGGATACACACACACACACACACACACATACACACAGGTCTGAGGACACCACTCTGGTGTCAACAAAGCCAAACTGATCTCAGCCCTTGCCCATTGCCTTTATGACTAAGAGTGAGCCCTCACCCTTGCTTTCTAGGCCATATCCCACTTCGGGAGCTAGATGTTCTGATCACAGGAGGTCCAGCATACAAAGACACTTGGCAAGTCAAAATGTACTCAACATGGGGCTGTTAGGATCACAAACCAGAGACCTCCACTTAGCAGTTTAGCAGGCTCTGACCAATGAAGCCTGGAGAAGGGGGATAGGGACATTCTTAAAACTGAATCCTGTAGGTATTAGATTTTCCCCAAACTCCTGAGCTCAGTGCTCATGTGCATTGTATCATTTAACTCTCAAACACACTCTAAGGTAGATACTATTATTATCCCTGTCTTAACAGATGACAAAAATAAGGCCCAGGGAGGCTCCAGAGATGTGAGGTGGTTTTCTTTGACACTGAAGCAATTTAAGAACTTCTTTTCTATCCAGTCCTACTTTCCTGCCTTCTCCCATATTGTTTTGTTCAATAATACTAACACAAACTAACATGTTTAAAGCACTAATCACATGGCCAAGTATTTCCTTCCTAAAAACTCCTTAAATCCTTAGTGTTATTTTGTAGTAAATATTCATTAGGACCATTGTACAGATGAGGAAGTAAAGAATATAGAGTTCTAATCCATGTAAGTGCCCCTAGGCAAGTCCTTTCTCTCAAGAAATGGTTGAACTAGTTCTTCTGTAGGGTCTCTTCCAGTTCTAATTCTACAAGGTTGTAAAAGTGGAAAAAATAAATACTGGGCCCTTCTCTTTAGGATCACCCAGCTTCTTGACCTGGTCTCTCACTGGCTCCCAGCCCTGCCTCATCCCAAGCAATTTTTTTCCAAGGTTCCAGGGCTTCCTCAGTGAGGCAGGAATACACACGGGCAACATGCACCAGGTTGTAGATCCACAGCAGACCCTGCTTTCTGATGATGTTGTTTTGTTGCCACTCCATGTAGCTACTAGAAATGACTATTTTGCCTACAAAAGAGGAGTTTCCTCTGTTCCTGTACTCCAAGGGCCCTGATCCCCCATGCACAGCCTTCATTCCACAGCCCACACCTTACCAGGAAGGCTAGATAAAAAGAGCCCTCCAGCTTCTGCACCCTGTGTGCCAGGATCAACTCTCCCTGGAACTCCAGCTAGTCAGGAATACCAATCTAGACTCCTCCTCCTCCCTCATGATGATTTGGAGTCAGGCAGTCTGGGATCTTTTCACATATTGTATCCTCCATCTGGCCATCAGCATATTCTGATAACGTGAGTTCACAAGGGAAGAGGTTTGGGCCCTTTTGTTCCTTTCCTGCAGTGTAGTTTCCTGACCCTTTTGCAGATTTGTCAGTTATTGCATACCAAGAGATTTGAGAGTCATTTGCCTTTTTAAATGACTATTTAAAAGTAGTTCTTCACACAGCAGGGAGTGCCTAAGTATGGATGACTTGCAAACAAAGAAGACATGTTCCAGGGCAGTTCTAAGGGTATTGAATGTACATGGGCAGAGTAGTAGCTGTCCAGATTCACTCACCAAAAATGTTAGCAATTTACTCAGTACCCCTATCAGAGTAGGAAGGCATGCAGTGAAAGGTACTTAAAACTGGAAGACTGGCCTGGATGGGAGCCTTCCAACTCCTGACACCTCTGCCATTTTCCAGGAGACGCTGGTGAACCTAGCAGGGCTCCTGGTCAGCCTCTTGATGCTTCCTCTGGTGTCAGATTGCCCTAGGTAAGCCAGGAGAAAGACTGGGGAGCAGATGCCCAACTGGGTCTCTACCCCCATTGGCCTTTTCACTCTGTTGCCCCAGCCTCAGCCTTGGATGTTTCTTCCTCCTCACTACTCTCCACATCTATGCCAACTACCGGGCAGTCCGTGCCCTTGTCATAGAGACTTTGAATGAAAGCCGGCTTCAGCTGGTCCTGAAGCACTTCCTTCAGAGGGGAGAGATACTTGACCCCACTTCAGCCAATCAGATGGAGCCATTGTGGACAGGTGACCCAACCCTTTGGTCTCAAAACCAGTGTTTTCCAGCCTCTCCCCATGCCTGGGAATATTAACTCCAGCTTCCTGCAGGTTTCTGGCCATCTCTGTCTCTTTCCCTGGGTGTTCCATTGCACCGCCTGATCTCCAGGTGAGTCGCCCAGATATCCCACTCAATGCTGCTTCTTCCCACAATTCCCAGACATGCTTCTTGTTCAACTTACACATTGCCTCTCCTCACCAGGTTCCACTTTGCTATTCTATGTTTTTCATTTTCACTGAACAGACTTGAGGGTCAGCATGAGATCTAGAGAGCAGCAGGGTATATAATATAGTGTATAAAAGAAATACGGTTTATTGAATGAAGGAAAGCTGGTGGGAAAATGGGTGATTTCATACAGGAAGAAAGGAAGGATGGATCTAGGGTGTATAGGTTATGGCTAAGGAATAGATGGGAAGTGAGTGAAAGACAGATAAAGTATGGACAGTTATGTGAAGGACCCACCCTTAACAGTTTGACCAGATGAGGACTCCTCCCTTCACTTTCCCCTCCCCCCCACTGCATTCCTCTCTCCACCAGTGTCTTTGAGCTGCAGCAGCTGGTTGAGGGGCATCAAGAACCCTACCTCCTTTGCTGGAACCAGTCACGAAGTGAGTGTGCCACATTCTCCTAGCCTTAAACCCACCTTCATTACTCCTCTGTGGACAGTTTAGAGATAGCCTGTGTCCTTGAGGGCACCCTAAACTAAAACTTTGATGCATTCAATTTATAACTACATGCCCCTATGAAATTAATTTTATCACTCTGTAAAATGGAGCCATAGTAGTTGCCTTATTACCTTTAGCATTTTTCTGAAAGTCAAATAAGGTGATGACATAAAAACACTTTGTATATTGCCACGCACTCAAATAAGTTTATGATCTTTGCCTCTCCCTGGGGAATCATTCTTCTCTCCCATCCTGAGTCACCTCTTGGAGAAACAAGTCCTCGAGATTGCTGATATGTTGATATGTGTGTTAAAAGGTGTTAATCCTCACTAGCAAAATAAACCCACTTCAATGGGCTGCTGTGAAATTGCATTGTGAATTGAGCATTTCAGTTTGACCATTGGGAAGCAACAGGAGATGTAGTCAGATTGGGAAAGGGTGGGAAGAGAGCCTTCCATATTTGGTTAAGGCCTCTGGAGGAACACAGGTGAAGCATAAGTGGTGTAGGGTTAAGGGCATTTGGGTCAGTGGCCCTTCCCTAATACCCATCTTTCCCCTGGGTCTCTCCAGACCAAGTACAGGTAGTTCTGAGCCAGATGGCAGGCCCTGAGACAATCCTAAGGGCTGCCACACACGGGCTGGTACTTGGAGCCCTTCAAGAAGATGGACCACTTCCTGAAGAGCTGGAAGAACTAAGAAACCGAGTGCGGGCAGGTAAGCACCTCATGGTCTAGACTACTGATGACTCAGAGAGGGGTGGAACATCTGTCCTGGTAAGGTATGAGAGCTGGTTCTGCATCCCACCCCAGGTGCTGAGAAAGATAGCTGGGTCATCATCAGAGAGACACATCAAGTGTTGAACAAGCTGTTCCCAAAGTTCTTGAAAGGTAACATTGACCCTGTGGCTTCTTAGACCCTAAAGCCCTCTCCTGTGGTGCTTGCCTATCCTTACCCCATGCTTTTTACCTGGGACATAAAAGACCTGACTTCTCTCTGTAATCTTAAGTCTGGGAATCAGTTTCCCTATCGATAAGATAAGATAAGGAAATTAGGATGAGGCTGTGTTGATGTTGAATGTCTGTGCAATCCCAGTTGGAATTTAGGAAACAGGGGAGAGAAGAGGGCTCACCTTTACTTATGATGTCCTTTTATCCAGTACTTACTCCATCCTGCCCCTTTTCCATGTGCTGTCTCTGAATTCTGCTGCAACCAGATAAGGTTTCAGCCTCATTTCAACCTCCCCCAGTAGAGGAGCCCAAGTAGTGCATAGAGTCTGCATCTGGCCTGTGCCTCTCCTTACCCATCTTCTAAGGGTCAGCCCAGATTCTCCTCCCACCATTTGTAGCCTCATCCTGTGACCTTTCCCCAGGATTACAGACAGCTGGCTGGAAGACTGAGAAGCACCAGCTAGAGGTGGATGAGTGGAGGGCCACGTGGCTCCTGTCTCCAGAAAAGAAGGTCTTGTGAGCAGTCCAGATGAAGACCCAGGGCCCAGGACAGGAGCGTGGAGCAAGGACACTTAGACCACAACAGAACATAGAAAAAGCAACTTTATTTTTGCTTTAGGTGAATTGCTACGGCAGGTTGGCCAAGGCCTCATAGGAAGTGACTGCCAATCAGATGGACTGGACCCCAGGCAGAGATAAGGCAGGAAGAACGAAGACCTTCCCATTCTACTTTTGCCCCTTCTCCTCTCCCTTCCCTGGGAACTACTATAGGTTCTCCATCCTCAATTATTGTGAGGATGAGCCCTACCCTAGTTATGGCTCATGGTATCCAACACATTTGATGTTATGCATAAAAACCCCAGAAGAATGTGGCCACAGTCATCATAAGAAGGGCATTGAGGTTGACTACACGAGCCCAACTTGGGTCCTCACTGATATCCTCCAGCTGCCTGGCTGCTGCAGCCACCTCCTCCTGGGTAGGGGGTGGAGGACCACCTGCACGACCCCTACTCATTCCACAGAACCAGAGCAGGCACTGGCGGAATAAACCTGGTGCCACGGACTGAGGTTCTAAGAGAAATTGAGGTACTACAGTTAGTTTGAAGGAAATTCGCCCCCTAAGTTCCCAGGGCCCACCTCCCTAGGCAATTCCTTACCCTCCATCTCCACTGCATGCTCTGGATACCCATTCTGTACAGGGGGAGAGGTTGGACCTTCTAGCTCATCAGCATCCAGGTCCTCTCGTTCCTCCTTGCTGTGCCGGAGACTGAAAACCAGGCGATGGAGCTGGGAAGGGGTGGGAACAGAGACCAAGTGGGAGTTTCATTCTCCCACTTCTGTCCCTAAGGCCTCTTGCCTACAGTGGCATACCAGCCTTGTCACTGCCCTCCCTCACATACCCTTGTCCAGTCTACATATCTAACCCAGGCTTAGCTCACTCAAACCCTAAGCTGCTCAGCTAGGTACTTAAAACCATTGACCTTGCTCACCCCCTGCTTCTACACGCCAAGTCTCCTGTACCCACCCAGAACTGTAGTACTATAGACTGGTCTTATAGTTCTGTTCACAGTGTTCCTTTCCTATGGGCATTTGCTCACAGTTTTCCTGCTGCTGAGGAAACTTTCCCGTCCTTGCAGGCCCAGCCCTTTTGTCTTGCCTGCCTCAATCTGCCCTGCTCTGGAGTACCTGCCTTGGTTCAGCATAAGACCAAACTCTTACAAGATGATACTGTGTCCCTCTCAGCTACTAGTTGTATTCTGCATTTGAGTTCCAAAGGCCATACCCAGAATTGGCTTTGGGAAACTTTAATTGCCAACCCTCCAAAATGTTCAGCTCACCCTCCCCCCATTACTTCAAATAAATATCATTTAAATAAAAATGTGCTTGCTCTATAAATGCAACTTCAAACTGGTCTCCCAGCCAGCTCCTACTAATCCTTAGCATAGAAATTCAGGTCCTCCCCCACTGGGTATTTCTTGAATCAGACTGACAGATGGGGATGAAGATGGTTCTGGCTCAGACAGTGCAAGTCTGGTCACCCAGCCTGTCCAGAGGCCAACACTTACATGCTTTTGAGGAATAGGCTCAGTGCACAGGGAGACTATGAGAGTGAGGAGGCCAGAGCAGACGAAGAGCATGATGGCAAAGTACAGGTAGTGCACCCGGCAAATGAGTGCTGGGCATGCTGAGGGTCTCACACAGCTGCCAGACCCAAAGGAGAACTCAGGAATAAGGCGTGCCAGGCCCATCAGCAGGCCTCCAATCAGTCCCCAGAAGGCACCCTGTGGAAGAAACATCATTAGCCTGCTCAGGATGCCCAAGCCCTGCCCCACATTCACAAGTACACTGCTTACCTTCTCATTAACACGGGGCACAAAGAGGGCAAGCACAAAGACTGCAGATACAGGTGGTGCCAAGTAGCTGGAGACTGACTGGATATAATCGAAGAGCTGCCCGCCCTGTGCTGCCTGCACTACTGGTAGCCAGGCCACTGACACTGCCACAATGAACACTACCCAGATCCTGCAGTTGGGAGCCATCAAAAGATTTTTACCCAGTTGCCTCCTGTCTCCCATAACCTTGCAGGTGCTTTATGCCCCCACCCCAGGCTCATTTGTGGGGCAGGAGTTGGGGGAGGGTAGAGGGAACCTAGGCCGCACCGTCCAACTATCAGCAACTCCCCTTCGCCTGCTCGAGGCCGCAAGCGTGTATAGATGTCCATGGTGAAAAGTGTGCTACTGCTGTTAAAGATTGATGCCAGCGAGGACATGAGTGCAGCCAGCATGACAGCCAACATAAGTCCACGAAGACCTGTGCATCAACAGGAGCTCTGAGGATGGAGCTTCCAGGGTGTCGCAAGGTGGTTGCAGGCTTGGCAAGGAGTGACCCTTTACATTGGCAGTCTCCTGGCCTCCCTGCACATGTGGGCGGGGAGCATCCCAGGCACCTGTCCTCACCATTGGGCATGAGTTTCACAACAAGCCGTGGGTAGGCGATGTTGGAGCAGCCCACCTCAGTCCCACATATGCGTTTACACACCTCTGGTACCACACAGGCTACTTCGTCTGCAAAAAGAAGTCACAACAGGCTAGGACAGAGAATCTGCCTCCCTAGTAGATACTGGGAGAGGAGAGAGATGGGGTCTCTGGTGGAAGGTGGGACTGGGATACTGGATTCCCAAAATTTAAAAAAGTAGCAAGAAATAAGACATAGGCACTTGAATCCTTGCATAAGAAGGGAGCTGGATGGGGCACAGACTGTTGGGCAGGACAGGAATGCAGATATTACCTGGGTAAAGAATGCGACTGATCATGCCTGGCATGACCATGAGAAACATGGGCAAAAGCTTCAGGTAGCCGCATAAGATGCAGCCCGCCTTGATGTGGGTCAGGTTCTTTCCAGCCAAACAGCGCTGCACTATGACCTATGAGAGGTGCATTCAACTACCATGTACTGTCCCCACACCCACCCCTCAGGCCTTGCCACCCCTTCCCAGCTCTAATTTGCGCCCTGCTTCTGGTTCTGAGATGCCCCTTGTAGGTTTCCATCTTCAGATCCTGCCACCTGGTTCTATCTTAGCTCCACCAGGGCATGGCTCTCGCCCCATTAAACCATGCCTTCTACATAATTCCAGGGGCAGAGGTGAGGTGTGAGGGCATGGGGTCAGGCACCACCCATCTCAGCTCTGCTCAGGCATTTAGGATTCTACCCCAAATCCACTTCGGTCCATGCCCTGACCTCACACCTGGTCACTGCACCAGTACCAGCCTGAGACGATGGTAAGCCCCACGAGCAGTGCAGGCCAAGGCAAGTCCCCTGTCACAGGGTCCCGGAGCAGGTGGTAAGAGTCGGGCCGTGGCTGATAGCAGGAGCTGGAGATGTTGCCCACAGCCGGATCCTTGGACACCGTCAACGAAGTCATTGCTCCCAGGTATTTGTCGAAGAGCCCTGAATAGCCACCCACTTCGTGGAAAGCTGTGCAGACAAGGCCATCAGGGGACTAACACCAATACGAATACCATCCTTAGGACCCACATACTAGTGACTTGCAATATCCTGTCCCTGATTCTGGGTTGAGATCTCCATGCCCCTCCCCCATTGGCTGAGCCCCATACCGTAACCCGAGAGAACGATGGCACCCCCCAGAATGACGAAGGTCTGCACAGTATCCGTGTACATCAGTGCTGCCAGTCCTCCTGCAACAGGCCTGAATTAGTGGAGACTGCCCAGCTCCTGATCCCTAGCATATACGGTGTCTTTTTGAGAATTTGACAAGGAACCCCTCTCTGAAGAATATATCTCAAAATGATGGCCCATTCTCCAGGCTCATGCACTAGAGTACAGAGAAGCAGGGCTTGGACCAAGCAGAGGGTGGCTGAGTTTTAGGGCCCACTGATGCACTTCTTGGAAAAGCACCCACATGCAGTATCGCAGCTATTGATCCCTCTTGGCTGTTTTCTTGTCTAGGTAGTAAAAGGGAGTGATTCTCTAAGGTCTAATTCTGTTCCATCCCATCCCCAGAGATTGCCTGACAAGCCTGCCTTGGCACCAGATACCACCTACTTTATTCTGTTTCTGACCTGGGTCTCCACCCTGGGATCCTCAGAACTGCACTGAGTTTTGCTAGAGGTATTAGAGAATAGCCAAGCCACTATGTCCATTCAAGAAGAGCAAGAGCTGCAAAATTTTCATTTATCCTCAGTCCCCACTCTTAAGCCCAGCACCAAACTAGGCACCCAAACCTCCAGGCCAAATCCAAGGGACAGAAGGGACAGAATATGAGCTTGTTTTCCAAAGAGTTAGTTCCTTCTGACTGGACCATATCACACTTCCAAACCTCTTTGTCCCACTTTCCTCTAGTGGCTTTCCTAAACCCCAACCACAGTTCCCGGCACATTTTAAAGCCAACTCCCAACCCCATGCCCACTCCACCTAAGGCCTTGCTGTAACTACCTGTCACAGTGTAAATCATGGTGATACCCAAGAGGGCAATGACAGAAGCATAGATGTTCCAGCCCAGAGCTTGCTGAATGAATACTGCACCAGAAAACATGTCCACCTTGGGGAAGAAGAGCAAGCATACAGGTCAGGACCCAGGGGCAAGGGCAATGACCAAGTTCACCTCCTGCTTAGGCCACAATTTTGTGTGGCCAAACCTTAAAGGTTCCCCCTTTTTTCAAAGCCCCGGCCTTCTCAGGTCCTACCCAGTGTGGTCACAGCCCCTGAAACCTATTCCTTTCAGACCCTGCCCCTATCATGATTCTTAAAATGATTTCTCCTAGGTCCCGCACCCTCCTGAGATCTGTAAGACCTCCACTAGGTGGCCCCTCCCTTCTAGGAGCTAGTACTGCCCGCCGCGCATGCGCACCGAAATCTTGGTGAAGATGTACAGAAATAGTGAGAGCACAGACAGGTAGAGGCGGATACGATGGCCACCGAAGCGCTTGCGCAGATACTGCGGCATCGTAATGACACCTGCGGTCAGGTACACAGGAGCGAAGAGCCAGCCGAGCAGCAGCACCACAAACAGCGCCTGTAGGTGCAGCGTAACAGTAAAGGGTGACTTCTTGTCTAGCATCCTGTCATGAGTCTTGCCTCGCCCCTAAAGGACCAGAGAGACCTTCTCTTCCAGAACAAGAAGGTCCCAGGAAGGTCTGCACCTGGGGCCCAGAGGACAACTGCAAAAGATGACCTTCGACCCTAGGCATTAAGGAAAGGAATTTTGACACCTTACTGGATCCTTAACTAGAGCCCTTTAGTCCCTCTCAGGCTACCACCACCACCCCCTCCACCCCATGCCCTGTCAGTCCCTCCCAGGAGGATCCTTATGTTTCTCCATGCCTTCTCAAGCATATGAACCCAAGCACAGAACCTGCAGACTGACCTCAGCATCTGTCAGGCATGGCTGTCTCCCCTCTCTTCTTAACCCACTCAAACCTTTTGTCTGTCCAGCCTCAGCTCAGAGGAAGGAAGCCCTGAGTTCAAAGCCCTGATTTCCCCAATCCTCTAAGGTCAGCCCTAGTCCCAGAGCTTTGTCTCTTCATCAACTTGGACAAAGGGCTTTAATTTGAACCAGAGATCCTCACAGAGCCCAGCTTCAGATAGCATCAAAACATGTGCCTCTCCACCTCTGAGCTGCTTGGGCCATTTCAGAGAGGAGTGTATCAACACCTAGATAGGGTAGAGGCTGGTACCTGCTCATATATAGAAAGTCAGGAGCAGGACATACCCCTGCCCTGAAAGCGATCATCTTATGCATACCTCCAAACCAACTTCAACCCGTGACTGGATATCCCACCCCAGTCTCATATGCCCCCCTACCAGGAGCTTCCCCAAGGACTCTTCCAGGGGTTCCTGCTGGGATGGGGTTATTGTGGAAAAGGAAACCTCACGTTCCACTCAAATCCAGCCACAGCCAAGCCGCTTGCAGCACCAGTCCCTGCCAGGCCCACAAAGTGGCCACTGCCGATGTTGCTGGCGAAGAGAGAGGCTCCAACCTTGATGATCAGAGATGGGGATGAGCCAGGCGACTTCTCTAGAGTCCCTCCTCCCCATCCCATGGCTGAGCCGCTCTCACCGGCCACCAAATCATGCTTCGTCCTGCCAAGAAGTAGCCACCAATGGTGCCCCTGTTGGTTCTGCACATAGACTGGGGGACAAAATTGGGGGAAACCTGGGTTCAGGGCACATCTTTGGACTTCTTTAGCCTCCTCAACACATTCCTCAGCCTTGTTCCAGGCTGAAGATTAACCAGCACTCAGCTCCCCTGTTTGTTCATACCCCCACCCCCAACCTCCTCCCAGACATCCAGAGTGACCCAGGCCCCAATCCTGGTGTCCAACTACTCAAGCCTGAGTGTGGCTGGATTCTTTAACCTGACTTTTCTGAGGACCTGGGATATGGGCTGATAGTCAGCCATAATGTAGACAAAGGAACAGAGGCCTCAGAGTGCTAAACTTAATGAAAATCCATTGATCCCCCCTCATCTAGCACAATCCGAAGATTGAAAGACAAGGGGTTAATGTTGGCTAGGCATCACTGAGGCTTTCAAAAGATTTGATTGCCTTCCCAACCCTGCCTTTCTCCCTCAAAGATCTAGGCATCCTTCCCCCACACCTATTCAGGGTATCCAATAAGACCTTTTCCCCCAGGCCCCAGAAACCCAATACCCCTTCAACTTCTCACCCACAAGCCAACACCAATGACCAGCAAGAAATAAGCGGCAATGACCAAGATGTCAGCAGGATTGTCGATTAGGACCCTCTGGTCCCCTAGTCCTTGTTCAGAGCCTGCTTCTATATATTCCTCCATTCTGCCCAGGATCTGCTCCTCAAGGGACCAGTATCTGGATTCCCCTAGGGGAGGGATTAATGGTTACCTCAGGGGCAATGAGCCGACAAGTCTCCTAGGTCTTGTCCCCCCTCTGCAGATTTATTTAGCTGAATCAGGCCATATCAAGGCCGAAGGCTGGTCCTGGGGAGCTGAGCCCTTTCAAGTTCAGAAGCACTCCTCTCTGGGCCTTAGCCTCCACCCCCTCCTCAGTGTCCCGGGCTCAAAGTAACCTCATTCACCCCCTAAAAATATTATCTCCTTCAGCCTTAACCTAGGAAGACTTGTTGATCCAGGTTCTGTTAATCCAGAGAGATTTTGGGTAGTGGGGGTTACCAGGGATTGAACACGGGGGTGCTTTACCACTGAGCCACACCCCCAGCCCTAAAATTTTTTTGATAGGGTCTCCCTAAGTTGCTTAGGAACTTGCTAAATTGCTGAAGCTGGCTTCGAGCTAGCAATCCTCCTGCCTCAGCCTACAGAGCTGCTGGGGTTACAGACATGCACCACCATGCCAGGTGAGAGATTATTTTTAACCCAAATCTGTTAGGATCACTCCCCTGCTCAGAAATCCTCCATAGCTCCCCAAGACACTCAGGAGAAGTACAAGCTCCTTGGCTCAATTTTCCAGGTCTGCCAAGCCCTGATTCCTACCTAGCCCCATAGCTTCTCCATACCAAAACTAGAATGAAGTCACAATTTCCTTACCACTTTCTTGCCCTATCCAACCCAGACTTTCTTTTATCTTTTTTTTCCTCTTTTTATTCCTGAACTGGAAATTTTCATGCCCCTCTAACTTTGCTGTGCCTTCTGCTTAGAGCACCTCCCTGCTTCCCAAATGGCCAGCTCTTCTTCAGCCCTCAGTATCTAGTCTATGACACCTCTTGAAGAAAGACTTCCCTGATTTTTCTGATAGAGTTCTGAGCACATTGTGTGACCCTTGTACAGGTCTGTCTCCCCAACAAACTAGAGACTCCTCAAGAGCAGGAACTGATCCAATTCATCCCTGGACTCCCACTGCTCAGCATAGGACCAGATGTAAGAAAAGATGGTGATTATTTGCACATCTGCCTTTCTAGGACTGACCAGACTTGGAAGTCAGGAAATGGAGGCAGGGGACTCCTATCTGATTATGGCAACTACAATCACCCTTGCTATGGGAAACAGAGAAAAATATTTTCAGGAATATGATGAATTTGCTTAAGAAATGCTTTAATATAGTTTCCTTATAAATAAATCTCTCAGATGAGAAAAGTCTGAAACCAAAATAGGCAGGGAACTGGGAGCAAATCACACTTATTTCAAGATATGGGGAGCTGAAGAGGGAGGAATGGAGGTGGGAAGATTCACTGGGTGTAAGGAATTTGGCTGTGGATATGTACAAGGCAGCATTCCTCTGGTGAGAAAACTCCTGGAGGGTAACAGGTGCTCTGATTTGGATATTCTACGGTTTCTCCCTGGAACTAGTAAAATGACTAATACATGCTCAGTGCCTAGCTGCTATGGTAATGTCCTTTGGGAGGAGGCTCTGTACTAGAGTCTTATCAGTCTCAACCTTAATCTCAAACACTCAGCTTCTGGGAATAAAGGAACTCTCTTAGACAACACCAATGTGTCACTGCACCTAAACCTGCCCACAGAACAGTAACTTTATACAATGAGCAATATGTACTAATGACGTCAATGACCTAATATAACCTATGGAGACATATATATATATATATATATATATATATATATATATATATATATATACACATATATATGAAGCTGGCAGCTCAGAGGAGCAGCCCTTTAACTTGACCCCTGCACCTTGCTTGCCTCTCTCTCTCTCTCTCTCTCTCTCTCTCTCTCCCTCCCTCCAACTGGGGCGCCAGCTTGAGCTCCTGTCCTGGCTTCACCACTATCTGTATAGTCTTGCACAGGTCACCAGCTTTCCAGCCTGTGGCTTATCTAATATTTGATGTACACTCATCTCTTGGTATTTGTGTGGAATTGGTTTCAGGAGGCCCCTGAAGATGCTAAAAACTAGAAATAATCAACTCCCTTGGATTAAATGGCATAATATTTGCATATAACCTACTCACATCCTCCCATATACTTTAAATCACCTCTAGATTATAACACCTAATACAATGTAAACGTTGTGTAAATAGTTGTTGTACCTTATTGTTTAAGGAATAATGACATATTCCTTAAACAAGGGCCTACAAGGCCCTTCATGATGTAACATATATTTTCTCTTCCATCTCATCTCCTGCTACTCTTGGCATAGCTCACTCTAACCCAGACACACTGGCTTTCTTTCCTTTCTTCCAATATGCCAAGCTCTCTCCTACCCCCTGGCCTTTGCATTTGCTGTTTCTTCTGCCTTGAGTGCATGTTCTTAGGCTCTTTGCTTGGCTAGCATCTTCTCAATCTTCAAGTCTCAGCCTAGACATTACATTTCACAGAGGTTTTCTCCAACTCCCTGGCTCTTTCCCCACCTCCTCTTAGTTCTCTTTTTTCCCTTTTCATTCTCCCTCCTTTCCTTTCTTCCCTGTTCCTTCCTTCATTGACAAACATTTATTGAGCACTCATTATATACTAGACACCATCCCAGACACTGGAGAAACAATGGTCAGCCAAACAAACAGGTTGCCTGCTCTCAGGAGCTTTCGTTCCAGATTCAGAAACAGACAAAAACAGGTAACAAACACCTATTCACAAATGATAAGTGCTATGAGGAAGCTAGGGAGGTGCCATGAGATGGAAACTGGGGGAAGAGCTGACAGGGAAGGTCCTCTTCCTTCATTACACTTGTCACTCGTGTACTTGTTTGTCAGCTGTCTTCCCTACTACATTTTAGTTCCCTGAGGAGAAGGAGCCACATCTGCTAGGTTACCCATTTTCCCTCACCCCCACCCAAGTCTGGCCCAGTAAGGACTCAGTAAAAATTTGGTGGATTAATGAATCAAGACTGGAGATGGCCAGTTTGGGCATCCTCAAGAGAGCGAGGTAGTTGACACTAGAGAATGGACAGCATTCCCCAGGGAGGACATGTGGTAGGGAAAAAGCAGAACTGGGAAGAACCAGGAAGACTTGGAAAAGAAAAGATCTGAATATCTGTCAGAGGCCAGCATGTATTCCTAGGGGTCTAGGTGCTCTCCCTAAGGAACTGCAGGATCCAAGGTAAAGGTTCTAAGAAAGACTCATAAAGGTCTCTGGGATTTGGGGACTTCCATGGAGTCAGAACTCCTCCAGACCTGAAAACCCCTGATCCCACCCTTTTCTGCTCTGACTTATCTCAGGCATCACTTCCTCCAGGAAGCCCTCATTAACTCCTGCTCTAATTTAGAAGCCTCCTTCCATCTCCAACAGCCTCCAGTGCTTCCCCCAGTCACTCTCCTGGCCACACCACGTGTTATCCATCTCTTCCACCAGCCTGGGAAGCTCTGCCTAGGCATGACTTATCTCTGTGTACTCAGCACCACCCAGCATGCCTGATGGAGTTACTGATGAACCAGCAGGGAAAGTAAATAATGAGTCTGAACGTGCTAACTTCCCTGCCATGTCTACATGACACCTACAGGGGGTAGAACATATGGGGGTGGGGGGAGTTAATACTAGTAAGAGGCAAAGAGCACAGATCCAAACGGTGGATATAACTTGGCACTTATGGAAGGAGCACAATCTCTCAGGTTACTTTAAGGGGATAAAAATCTGGAAACCAAAGAACAGCAATTTCCTTATTTCAAGGATAGAGGAAGCTGAGGAAAGGAGGAATGAGGGCAGGAAGATTCAATAGGGCCCCAGGCTGCTGTCCTGGTTCTGCCACTATCTGTACAATCCTGCGCAGGTGGCTGCCCTTTTCAGCCTGGGGCTCAACTGATAATTTGAAATTCCCAAGTTAAGATCTGAGGCTGTAGTTCCTGCTCTGGCCACAGGGTTGCGGCCTAGAACTTAACTCCCGACCGAGCCGCACAAGCGGCGGGGACTTTGATGGCAAGGTTCTTCGGCGCAGAGACACAGCACCAATGAGACGTGGAATGTGTATTTATGTACGTAGAAAAAAGTGCACAGAATGGTGAGGGAGCGGGAAGCAGGGATGTCCTGATCTGGCCTCTGACTGGTCAGAATTGCAAGGACGCTTCCTCCAGTCAGGGGACTGTTTCAAGGGTGGGAATAGAGTGAAGGACTCACTCGGGATCTCTCTTGAGCCTAAGATCCTCTTGAGGCGTGTGGGTTAGGATGGGTGGGGCCTTTTCTGAACTTGGCCACCGGGGGACGTAGTGTACTTTAGGGACGGCTCTCTTAAGCAGGTGGGGCTACAAAGATCGGGAGTTGGGAACAGCCATAAGTTCAGAAAGCAAGACCTTGGGGTCTGGAGGACTCGCTCTTTTTCTTTGCGGGAGCATGGCCTCACGAACGGGGAGCTCTGCGGATCAGCCGAAGAGCTTAAGGAAGCAGGGCTGGCAGTAAGGCTTGCCGGCGCGCTCCTGGAAGGAGCCCTTGGTGAGGGGGCGCAGGCAGAAGGTGCAAGTGAAGTGATCCGGGTGGAAGCGGCGGCCCAGGGCCGAGACGCAGCGGCCAGTCACTGGGAGGCCACACGTGGCGCACAGCGAGCCGCGCCGCGCATGGAAATGGTTTTCGCATAGCGGACGGCCCTCGTGCTCGAAAAAGCTGCCTCCCGAGAAGGGCGCGAAGCATTCCTGGGGAAGGAAGGCCGCGAAAGAATGAGTCAGCAGCCAAAGCCCGGACCTGATAACTAGTACTGGAATAATTCACCCGTGACCCCTGCTAAGCCTCGCCCCGCCCCGGGCTCCTAGTCCTGCCTCCCGCTGACCCTTCCCTGCAAAGTCGGGTCCCACATCACCGCACCCTGCAGACGAAGCAGTCAGGGTGCCAGAGCGCGCTGAGCGCTGAAATGTAGTTATCCAGAATGGGGCCTTGGCAGCCCTGGCAGCGCGGCGCGAACAGCTGCAGGAAGTCCCGGCGGCAGTAAGGGCGGCCCTCACGCTCGTGGAAACCT